ACACACACACATATATATATAGAGAGAGAGGGGGTGAAAGCCAGGGAGACCGGGAGACAGAGAGTCAGAGAGATAGTTAAACATAGAAACGAGGAGACAGAGATACCGTGAGATAAAGAAACAGAGAGACAGCGAATGAGACAGAAATACAGGGAGATAGATATACAGTGCGATAGAAATACAAAGACAGAGCGATGCAGAAAGTTAGAGAGTCAGTGATTGTTTGTGCGTGCGTGCGTGCGTGCGTGTGTGCGTGCGTGTGCGCGCGCGTGTGTAAGAGAGGGCGAAAGAGAGCGGGTTTCATGAATCTTATCCGTACACATGCTCTGATACACCTGCGCCAAATTTACGCTGGGGAGTATTATTGGGGGCGTTTTATTTTCGGGTTAAATTTGCGAAACGGGAATTTTTTTGGAGAGCTTTGTAAAATCCGAGAGAGCTATTCCCTATACACGCACGGCGTGATAGAAATATCAACAACGTAAACTCGATGTTTGTGAAAACGTTTTTCCATGTTACCAAGACAACTCAAAAGGTTTCCCCTCTTTTTCTATATCTCTCATCTCTACACACGCACATAGACACACACACACGCACTCACATGCACGCGTACGCACACGTACACGTACACTCACTCGCACACGCACACGCACAAGCACAAGCACACGCACGCGCGCACACATGCACGCATACGCACACGCACACGTGCATGTATATGCACGAGCACGCCCGTACGAACAAGTACGCGCACCGCACAGGCACATGCACACAGCAAATTAAAATGAGATAATATTTAACATATCTCCACATGTTGCCACATTTAATGTTCAAATCTTACAAATAATTATATAATAATATCACTTCTCAGATATTTAAACAAAATCTGTAATGTTCAATGGCAATTATTTTGCAGTTTACAATTGTGTAGTAGGTTCCTACATCTATGTCTGTAATCTATGACCACTGCGACATTCTGTCACTATAACGCGAACTTTAATATTTCTATCAAGAGCGTATTAATACGCTCTTGTTTCTAAGCAACATTTGGTTCTGCCAGATACACAATATAAAATAAATCAATGATAATATTATCTATAATAATTTCAATATAAGACATGTAATTAATTATACTTTTCAATACATTATAAAGTTCAATATAATCTTATCGCGTGTGTTACATAATATTTCATAGGTAACATAAGATAAATTATGTATGATTAGTATACCTTCTGTACATCATCCGGATGGTGAAGAGACTGATGTAGTAGTCCTGAAGATTTCCAGAATGTCGGTGAATATGAATTCTGATTCCCCGGCTGCAAAATAAAATTTTCATTTAGTATTCGTTTGAAATATAACTTCGTCTTTTATGCTATAATTATCATGCCGCCACGACTGCGGGTATATATGCAATAGCCGCGCCTTGTGATCATCGAGAAGATGAGAATATTGAGAAGTAACTGACTTGCCCGAGAAGACCTATTATGATTGCTTCTTAGAGCGTGACAAGAAATGTCTGTCAATACACACGCGCGTGAGATTTCGACCTCATTGCAGACCCGCGTTGCGTTTCTAATCATTCCCGACGACACGCACACACACACACACACACACACACACACACACACACACACACACACACACACACACACACACACACACACACACACACACAC